CTTACATGCTAGTGGTTTCTAAAGAAATCAATAATAATTTCCTTAAGAAAATTATGAGTTTTTATTGGAGATTTATAAGAGATAAAATAGTTATCTAATTTTCTATTGCATCTCTGTAAAATAAAAAATAGGAAAAAAGAAACCCCCACATTTTATTGTAAATGAAACCACTGCTGGGTATAAACAAAGTGTGAATATTTTACAATATTGAAATATTGATTCTGGGGAGAAGGGAAAATGGGTTTTAGTTAATTGATGTTTTACTATAATACATAAATCAGAACTCAAAACAAATTTTGTTCTCTCTCTTGTCCCCATACATTTTCTATTTTCTGCTAAAGAACAACAGACTCATCAGAAACTTCATCAGGAATTGACAACCTTCTACTTTCTTTCCAGGCTAATCCTTTATTATGTTCTTAATGTGCTCAAAACTAATCTCTTAGGTCACCTGAGGACAATGACCCCACTTTCAGATTAACCAAGGCAAGACACAGGTGATTCTGTCATCGGAGGGAGAGGCCTCTGAACTGGTGAGGTTAGGACTGTCCACCTTAGGAATCCAGCAAAAAAAAGTAGACTAATTAATATCAAAGAGAAATAACTTAAGCCAGTGAATTTTTAATAAGTTGAAAAAGGAGAACAGGGAAAATTTTGTTTGTTTGTTTTACTCCCCCTCAAATGTGGAAGTGTAAGACAGGTGAGAGTCCACAGTAAAGTGGGTCTCAGCCTGGCTTCACCCTCCTTCACTGTCCCTCCTCAGTTTTTTCAGATTGGTTCCTTGCTAACCACTGACAGAACTTTTGGGCAAAGCTAGTCTCAATTTACATGCACAGAAACAAGTTTATGTCAAAGTCTGCACCTCTTTATGTCTCTGTACCTGGAGTCCGTGACCCGAGAGCATGGATCACCATCAGGAGCCACTCTTGCCACCACCCATCTTCTCACCTACTCGCCTCTTATCACTACCCTCTTCCTCCTCTAACTCCCCTTACTTCTTACTTTTCCCCTCCCTCTTAACTCTTTCCCTTACAACTCCCATTCCAGTGTGTGTGTGTGTGTGTGTGTGTGTGTGTGTGTGTGTGTGTTTTCAGGAAGTTTATAAAAACTCCCCAATACCTTCAAATATTTTGCTCTCTCTTAGCTTACCCACTGACTTTCAACCCTGCCTGCATATTAAAAGAACTTAAAAAGAAAAAGTGCCTTAGCCATGCCCCTACAGAGCCTAGGATCTAGCTATGTTGTGGTGAAAGACCCATGAGAAGCGACAGCCAGCACCCAGAGGAATCGGGAAAGTAAAACCTTTCTTACCCACCGCTGCTAGTCCTGGGGACTTTGACCCAAAGCCTGAACTTCCATGTTCTGTGATATATCTTCTTGTGGCCGGGCCCCTCAGGATGGGCTTTGTAGCTCCGCCCACGTCAGTTAGAATGGGGAAGTAGGATTGCTGTTTAACTAGATACTGAACTAGGCTGTAAACCTCCAAAGTTGCCCCCCTATCTTCCTTCTCAGCCCCTGCATGGTTGGCTTGGTTGTTTTAGTCTCCCTAAGTGACTTCAATGTGGGTCCAAGCTTGAGAACCACAGCCATAACTAAAACCCGGATTTAGTTATATCTCCCAAGCAAATACTCTTCCTTTGCCTCTTTCTGGAAATCACAGTCTTCCACACCTGAATACCACCAGACCAGAAAGGGCAATGAAGCTCAAGCTCTTCCAGACCAAATTATATTTATTTCCCTGTGGGCACTTCATTGACATACCCATGTTTCCTCTACCCGCCCCCCCCACCCTAATCTGTCTGAATAACTTCTATATTCATCAAAATTCAACTAAAACATTACCTCCTCCATAAAAATCTAAGGCAAATATCCATTTCTAGTGTGTGGGGAGCAAAACATAAGAAAGTTTGCCCATACATAGAAAGTATTTTATATATATTTCTGGTCATCTACTAAGGATAATATTATTTGTCTCCAGTTTCTATATAATTGGTGACCCAGATCTTGCCTGACAATCCCACTCTGTTCAGGTGATTGAGGTAAGCAAAGCAATGCACTCAAAGGTGCCCATGTCCCAGACACCATGTCCCAGACTGGCCTTACATGGCAAAATGGAATTTGCAGGGGTGATTAAGGTAAGGTTCTTGAGATGTGGAGGTTATCCTGGATCATCTAGGTGGACCCAATGTAATCACCGGGGTCCTTATAGGTAAAAAGCCAGGCAGGAGACTCAGTGTCCAAGTGATGAAACACGAGAATGACCTGGCCATCCATTACTGATGGAAGAAAAGCCAAGGAATACAGGCAATTTCTAGAAGTTGGAAAAGGCAAGATTCTCCCCTAAAGCTTCCAGAGGAATACAGCCCTGCTGACCCCTTGATTTTAGCCCAGAGAAATGCATTCAGACTTAGAAGTCCACCAGGACTGTAAGACAATAAATTTGTACTGCTTTAAGTCACTTGTGGCGATTTGTTAACGCAGCAACAAATCTGCTTAACCAGATACTGAACAAGGCTGTATCCAGGAAAGTAATACAGTGGCTGTGAAAATGTTTCCAAAGTATACTCATATCTGTCAATACATGCTCTCAGCATTGAGTTAATGCCACCTCTGCTGCAGTTATTGTAGAATAATGACCTTGAGTCATAACAAGACCCTTGATCATCAGTGAAAGAATAAGCAGTTAGAACCCCAGTACTATCCATACTTGATTATGAAAGACATATAACCCATCCCCCAAATAGACATAGTGTTTGTTATCAAGCACAAAACAAAAGCATGGAATGATACATGGTTCTTAACTTTGGACCCCAGCTACACTTGAGCAGGTTGGAGATCCTGGGCTTCTGGTCCACTCGTCATCCGTCCTTTCACTCTCTTGTGTCTCCTGCCGAAGGACACCAGGCTTCGTTCTAAGGCTAGGACTCTGAGGATGAGAACAGAGGGAAAAAGGAGAGAGGAGAGAGGGACCCAGTGTCCATTCTCAGGGTATGGTAGATGCGAAATCATTAGATTTGCTGCATTGCCCAGATTGCAGCCGGCATCTCCTGACGCTCATTATGTTAAAAGGTCCTTTGTTCCTGACTGTCTGGAGGAGGAGAAAGGGAGAAGAAAACGAAAAACCAGCATATCAGTAGTGAACTCATGCATATTTTAGAACGGCTTATTAAATTTTAAAAGGGAATTCCGGTTAACCCTAAAGTAGCCGGACATTTTACAGATTCAGTGTTCCTCATTTTTTGAACTTTCTGATCAATCGGTACTTTAGCGTACAGCCAGCTTATCATTTTGACTTCAAATCCATTTTCTTTTCACTACTGCAAAATGTTGTACCCTTCCTTCTCCCCACCTAAGCACACAACCAATTGAGAGAGTCATAGCGATCAGAAAGATGGGTATCAAAATGTTAGCTTTATTACTGCAAACTGTCTAGAGAACAGCCCTTAGGTGTGGAGCAGCAACAAGCTTCCTGATGCAGCAACTCTGTACTAAGCAGAATGGCCTACTCACTGTCAACTGGCAAAAGCGATCCAGTGCCGGAGGCAGAGCTGCCCTTAGTCAGATCGCAATAAAACTCCCCAACAGGCATGCCTGCCATCCTCCCACCTCACCTATCCCAGGGAGGACTGACACCTGAAAGCCTCTTCTAAGTGATAGTAAGTGAAGCTATGCTATTATTAAGCTAACTAATGATAGCTAGAGAAAGCTGAAGGCAAGCTCAGCAAGAGCTAAGTAAAGATCCGTCGCTCCAAGCACGCACGGAAGCGGTAGCCTCTGTCTCAGTGTGATGGCGCACCGTCCGAGTGTGTTCCCGGCAATAAAGTGCGCACATTTACTGCTGTTAGCCGCTGTATTTAGAGATTAGGGCTTGTTCAATGCTTTTACTACCCCAGCATTATTCTTACTTCCAATGTACTTTCTTGAGTGGGAGATAAAGGGAAGGAATTACATACAGGATTTGAGAAATTTACACATAGCCCCGTCCAGCAGCTTGTAGGGAAGGACCTTCCGGGGTAGCATTAATAGTTGTGGCAACTGTGAATTATTGAAATGCTTGTGATTTTTTACAGTTGCTTCTATTTCTTTTTTGTTTTCCTCAGGGATAAATTTGAGAAGGCAAACAGAGATATTTTTTTTATTATTATTAAGGTATTATATCTTACCATTGCCCCCCCCACCCCACTCCCAATCATGCCCTCACAAACGGAGATTTTTTTAAATATCAGCATGACACATGAGCAAGAATTACTACACACTTTTAGTTAATCATGGTGAAGAACTACAGTGTCAAGAAGAAAAAAAAAAACAGAACATGTAATGAAATTTGTGATTTTTTTTCAAGGATGATATTAATAGCATTATAAAAAGTTAATGAACACAGTCTATGTCTCATAATTTAATCAGTAACATAGGGGAGTTTTTGTTTTATTCTGCAGTTATGTGTAGTTGTTCCTTAAGGAGTTGGGATCCAGGAAAAAATTAGAATTCATTTTTTAAATAATAGTCACAATTTTTAAAGGCAATTTGGCTATACATATTTACTTTTATTTTAACATAATCATTTTGAGATTTATTTAATGTGCTTATAAAATGAATTTATGAATACTTTTATAAATAGAGATTTCCCCCCGGGCTAATGGCACTTTTTCGTGTGTTTTCCCACCACTAACCTCCCAGCTTGATGGGGTTTCTTCAATTCTGAAACTATTGTATATTGTGCTTGCAAATTGCTAAGAAATAAAATAGGAAACATAAGTTCTCTTTTCTACTGTGACGTCGTCTTAGGAAAGCTTTAATGGGGGGGGGGGGGGGAGACAAGAACAAGATTTCCCCTGACCAACCAATCAGTGCCCTTGCTAGGTGATTGTGACATAGGAAGAGTAACCTCCAATCAAAGAGAAGCCCCAAGTCTGATTGTTAGTTGGCAGTATAAATGTGAGGGCTCCTCCCACTCCTGGACCCTTCTCCTCTCCACTCTGTCAAGGAGAACAACATCTACGATGGCCAGATCCACCACCAAAAAGACTAAGAGATCCCGAGGACATCGGAACCCAAGCTCCAGAAAGAAATCACGTCCCTGCACTGATTTCAACCGAAATTACTCACTCTACATCCGGAGGGTCCTGAAAGAAGTGGATCCCCAGAGGAGCATATCAACTGGCACCTTGAACATCATGAACTCCATGATCAACAGCATCTTTGAGCGCATTTCTACGCAAGCCTACAATCTGATGAGCTACAGAAACCGTTGTACCCTCACCCATGGAGATATCCAGAAGGCAATGTATATGCTGTTTCCTGGGAAACGAGCTAAATACGCAGTGACTTTTGGAAGTGAAGCTGTCCAAAGATATGTCCACTCCAAAAACCATTTTCCAGCTTAATTAAATCTTGGGGAAAGTAAACAAACTTACCCAAAAGATCACTTCAATATTGAATTCACTCTTTTCTTACTTTTTTTTTTTTTTTTTTAGAACATAGTTGTAGTTCCTGGTATTTTTCCTATTTCTCTTCTCTCTAGAAAACAATTATTCTCTTGCTGTTTTACTTTTTAACAATTTGACTATTTAGGTTTTCCTGACACTGTCCCAACCAGAACTCTTGTTTTTCCTATAAATGTGTATATCTTGTTATGTAAATTCAATGCTTGTTCAATTGTTAAGGTATTGTTAACTATGTAAAGGATGATTTAGTCCAGCTAATTTGACCCTCAAGGCACACTGACTTTGTATTTATGAAGATAAATGTTTTAATCAGAAGTATACCAGCATTGGTAAATTTTCATCAAACTGCATTCAAACAATTTAGCTCCTTAAAGAAGTCTATAGAGCATGTTAATTATTCCCTTTTCGTTTTAACTCTTATTTTCTGAATTTCAACAAGCTCAGTCCATATCCATGTAAATTTCTCTCCCATTCCTTTGTTTTTCATTGTACTTTTGCTACATTTATATATGTCTCTACATTACAGGCTTATTTTTTAACACTACTACGCGTGTTGTTCTGCACCTGCCTTTTCATCAACATTATTTCTAAGATTATATAGCTCTAGTTCATTCTTTTCACTCCAATACTATGTAGTATTTTGTAATATGAACATACCACAGCTTATTAATCCATCTTCTGTTGGTGTAGGTTTGGGTTGTTTTCTATCTTTTTTGCTATTATGAACAATGCTGCTATAATAATGAGTTGTAACAAAGGCTAAGGTTTATATAGCATTTTACATAAATTAATTTATTTAATCCCTGTAACAACCTTACAAGAATTATGTAAGTATCCCCTCCTACAGATGAAATGGGTACAGAGAAATAAGTGATTCGTCTGAGGTCACACACCTGTGTAAGTAGCAGAGCTGGGATCTGAGCTGGTTAACACAGCCCACTGTGGACACACATTACATGCTGTGAACATTTTTAGACATGTATTTTCTGGTACAAATGTACAAAAGATTTCTCTAGGTAAAATAGCTAATAGGAATAGGCTTGCTGGATCATTGATATGCCCATATTCAATTTTACTAGATATCACCAGGCTGTCTTCCAAAGTGTTTGTAGTTATTTACATTTGTAGTAGATGAGTAATTTAGACCCTTCTGTTTACCAGGAACACATTACTTAAGTTTCCTCAAGAAAGGGAGGGTTTCCCCAGGCAGTGTTGCTCAGCAGTTGGGCATCAGTCCATGAACCAGGAGGTCATGATTCGATTCCCAGTCAGGGCACATGCCTGGGTTACAGCTTGATCCCCAGTAGGAAGCTTGCAGGAGAGAGCCAATCAATGTTTCCTTTTCATGGATGTTTTATCTCTCTATTCTTCTCCATCTCTCTAAAGTCAATAAAAGTATTTTTTTTTAAATAAAGAGTGTTTCTTGTATGTATATACCAGGATTGGATCTGAGACTATTCTAGGTGTCTCTCACTTAGGGCCTACCCTCTAGTTTTCCTGGGGTTGATCCCTTCTAAATCCCTCCTCAGATTCCCAACAAATAAACCTGACAAACAGACCTATTGGAATTCACTTACATGAAATGCCACAATAAAATATTCCACAACAAAATATGGTTAAAAAGGTTTTTAGGTGGGTATTTTTATACACATGCATGTATTTAATACGACTGGAAGCCATCCCAATTCAGTTAGACCTAGGAATCAGCAAATTAGAACCCCTGGGCCAAATCTAGAAGCAGCCCCCCCCCTTTTTTTTTCTGTAGCCCCACAAGCTAAGAAGTTTTCTCACAATCTTACAGGGATATTCTAAAAGAAAATGAACACAAGGACATTCAACAAGCCTAATGTGTCCCACAAAAACTACGATGTTTACTATCTTTTTACAGGAAAGCTTCCAAGCTCTGGAGCATTCACAAAAAAAGTTTTATTATAAATAAAGGTATTAAAGTTGGGTGAAGGGTACTCTAGAGGACTCTTCATCTGTTAGTCTCTTTACTTTTGTGTATGTTTTGAAATATATTAATAGAATTTCAAAATAAGATCTAGATTCTTGGAAATAAAAACTCAAGTCTGATTATATAAATTCATGTGTGTAAAAATACCCGCACCTATGATAATTTAGGCATATTAGTATGATAAAATATATATAACATAAAACTTACCATTTTAAGTGTACAGTTCAGTCACATGAAGTACATTCACATTGTTATGCAATCATCACCACCATCCATCTCTAGAACTTTTTCATTTTCTCAAACTAAAACTCCATAAACAATAACTAGACATTTCCCCCCTCTCTGCATATTAAGGATGGTAGAGCAGAAAAATGATTGAACTTCCATCCAGCCCAAGACTACCTATGTTGATATAAGAGAGTAATATATTTCTAACTTGTTTAAGCCAGTTACTGTTATCTTGGGTTTCTATCGTTCATGGTCAAATCTAATTCTAATGTAGACATCCAGAAGATTATTGACTGCTAAGAAATTCAGTTAGTCTGAAAATGATTGTATGCTTATTAAATAAAGACATATTAATCTAGAAATGGAGGATGATAAGTGTCTTGTATATTTACCAGATGTTGCTATAAAATGAAATCTCATGCCATTTAGCAACCCTTTCTCAGAGCTATATTAATACAGATGGCAAGAGCTTGCCTGTTATTAGTCCAGTGGACAAATGATGTGATTTTGAAACACTACTTAAAATACAAATGTATGTGAGAGATTCAAAGAAAACAAAAGAAAATTTACAACTAAGCCAACAACATGACCAACGTGGATTCTGTGATAATCTGAAGATAGAAGTAATATAAAAGATGTTTCACACCAATAAGAAAGAATAGTGCTGATTTTGTAATATAAATCACCCAAATAATAAAATTCTAGCAAATTTAGATTATCCTCTAAATTTAGAAATCTTATTTTAGAAATGAATCATATAATCTCACATAAATATATGCTATCACTTACCATAACTTTTTAAAGTTGCTATGCACACTATTAGCTTGTTCTTGTATGGACTGAATATGTCAGAAAGTACTGGGTAATAGGAAAGTACCATTAAGTATACACCACCTTACATATGGTACTTATAGTTCACTTATGAATTCATAGAAATGCCTTCTTTGTGATAAGATGCTGAGAAAAAAAGACAAGGTCTATCCTTTTAAAAGCTTAGAATCTAATGGAATAAAAACTGAAAATAAAGTAAATTATTGGGAATAGCTTATATACACTGGGTCTAGGCTCTGAAGTGGGTATTATTCTAAGTGTTCCATTTATGTCAACTTAATATAAAGCTCAAGGTAACACATGAGAAAAGGACTATTATCATTTTACAGTCAGGCACAAATGGCTAAGAAACTTGCCAGAGGTCGTAATAAAAGAAATGTGACTGAACCTACATACTCTGATCCCGGAGTCCATAACTTAAAGCACAGTGCATGCTGCATCTCCTATAAAGAGAGAAACGTAGAATACATTGTGGAACATCTAACCCAGAAGGGAATGGTATCTTACAGGAGATGACACCTAATCTATGTATTGAAAGAAATGTAGGTAGAAGAAATAATATTTACAAACTCATAGGACAGTAAACAATACAAATATAAAATAATTCCAAGTTGAATGGCTGCCAACAAGCACAGGAAGAGGGAGGGTGGAAATGAGTTCAGAGAGGTAGGCAAAAATATGTGGGCTGTCTTATAACTTAAATTTGATCGCAGTACCTAAGGGAGATCCATGGTGGGACTTTAAGCAGGAGAAAGTTGTGATTTCATTTGTATTTAGGAAGATTATCCCAGCAGCAGAAATCAGAAAGATACCAGTTTATATGTCATTAGAGTGATCCAGGAAAGACCTGATGATGGCCTGAACCAAGTTATTTCCAGTGGTAATGAGGAGACAGAGCTGGATGTGAAAGATACTGAGAAGGCAGAATCACCAGGAGACATGTGCAATGTGTACACTACCCGAGAAACAGCCAACTAGCAATGCCCATCTCTGGCTCATGAGGCTTCATGGATAGAGTCAAGACATGAGGCTCAGTTTATTTACCACTTCCGCATAAAATATCTAGACAGTGTGCAAGAGACAATGGTAAATGGTGCCCTAAGTGGGCACCAGAGCACACACGAGTGCTCTAAGTGCAGAGGATCTGGCAAATGTCAAATGACCTGGGGGCAGATGATTAGCACTTATCTAAAGTTTAGACAGAAGAGGACAGCTTGAATTTTTAATACTTGAGATCAATCTTTATCACAGCTTTGTGTATGTCACACATCATGCATTGGCAGATTTCCTTAGCTCTGACAGCTGATGGTTTGGAAGACATTTGGCAGTGTGGAGAGAAACCAAGAGCCTATGTAAATATATGGGAGAAAGTAGTTGCCTATAAATAGTAGAATAACCCTGGCCAGTTTTGCTCAGTGGATGATAGATCATCAGCCTACGGACCAAAGGGTCCCGGGTTCGATTCTGGTCAACGGTATTTACCTCAGTTGCAGGCTCCTCCCCAGCCCGGGCCCTGGTTAAGGCTCATTCAGCAGGCAACCAATGGATGTATTTCCGATTGATGTTTCTTTCTGTCTTTCCCTCTCTCTTATTATTATTAAAACATCCCTTACCACCTGGCAGGCTGGCTCAGTGGTTGAGCATCAACCTATGAACCAGGAGGTCACTGTTTGATCTGGCTCAGGGCACATGCCTGAGTCGCGGGCTTGATCCCCAGTGTGGGGTGTACAGGAGGCAGCCAATGAATGAGTCTCTTTCCTCATTGATGTTTCTCTCTCTCTCTCTCTCTCTCTCTCTCTCTCTCTCTCTCTCTCTCTCTCTCTCTCTCCCTCCCTCCCTTCCTCTCTGAAGTCAATAAAAATATATTTAAACTGGGACTGGTTTGGCTCAGTGGATAGAGCGTTGGCTTGCGAACTGAAAGGTC